GGACACATGTTGGCAACACATTCAGGGTTATGGTTAGAGAGTCAACATCAGATACAGTGACTCCCATGCATTGATTTATTTTTGGCAGCCCACCACAATATCCGCCACATATTGAATTTTTTTTCTATTTAAAGTGGATAAAGTTTTTTATTTTGTCAATGAGCTGCACACAGCGCATTGATTCACTCAGTCCCTCCTGCCCTGCTCTCAAACTCTCTCAACAAAACACATTGAGATCGGACCTGTGTGTGAATAGCCCCTCCTCTCAGCGCACACTCGGCACTGGGTTGTTAAGGTTAGCACGTTGTACGCTAGTCAATATCGACTGTTCGTGTAAGTGGCCAACGGTAATTCTTTAACTCTGATTCTGAATCAGAATTCCTTGTATGTGTAAACAGTCTTTTCTGATTACTGAATGTTTGCTCTCTTAATCAAGAGGTATAACTAAATATTTTTACTGACTCAAAAGGGATCATCCTGAGTGGCGCAGGCAGTCTGAACCAGAGGTATTAGCAAAACTGAGTACCTAGAAAAGGTGGAAAAGCTAAGTAGCCCAACTGGTGTAATTAACTATCCAATGAATTTGCTTTGAATATTTCCAGGCAGAGAGAGGCTAGGGAAGGGATAGCTGTAGCTAATGAGGAGGAGAACAGCAGCCAACATGCTGCGGTGGGAGAGCCAGCTAGGGCAGAACAACAGGTGAGATTGCCACAGAGATGTAGCAGCAGCGCAGGTCAGGGAAGCAGATTTCTCAGGAAAATTCATTTCTATTCTTCACTGTTTTTATTTGATAGAAGCAACGGAGCTGTGTATATTGTTCTGTTATTTGTCACAAAGTACTTGGCAATCAAAATATTTGTAGTTGAGCACCTATATACAATATTTATAAAATTTAAGAAAGAGTGGGAGTGCCTCCCTCAGTGTGCTCGCACAAAAAGGTTACTTAATAAACAAAAGCTGTTTAGAAACTAATTATGGCGTCCTATGGCTAATACAGTCATGCTGGATAAACATTTGAGAAACTCATTTGCATTCCTTACCACTCTTAAATATTTTGGTGAATCATCACTCCACCCATTAACCTCTCAAGCCTCTCCATTCATCTGTTCTTGAGCAGCATTATTTATTGTTTTAAGAACATCTTCAGACACAGTAGGCAACAACACAGACCTGGCATCATAATACACCTGATCTGTGTCTCGAGTGATCATGTAATTTCTCTTCCCCTACTCCCCACTGTCATGAACACAGTTGGGGGTTGCTTGATGTACCGATTTCTATGACTGACATACATTATAACTGTATTAAATCCACCTCCCTCTATACCTGTTAAAAATGAAACACATTGTGTGTGTTGACTGTATTTCCGTCCCCATGAAACATTTTCAAAGCCAATTAATTCCTACATTGTTTACATACATGTTTACTACCAGACAAAATAACTAGATAGATAGATAGATAGATAGATATTCCCATAGTTTTTATCACCATGTTACCCAACCCTAATGTACAACTGAGTTAATTTGTGTAACAAACTGTGGGGTCGCATTAAGAAACCAGGGTAGTGAACCTGAGGACAAACCTGGACTTTGAGATGCCACCATGAAGCACAGCTGCCTGTTAATTTCAGTGTGTTCTACTCTAGTAGCCCCGTTTAATTTTGCATCATCAGTAGAAATCACAGTAGCTGTGTGGGTGTACCTCTTGTGTCTGACTTGAATCATGGGATGCATGAATAAGCTTCACTGCAGCAGACACTATGTAAACAGAGACAGCCTGTGCTTTTGGCTCTCCATCACAGCAGAGACTGAACTCAAGAGCTTGCAACTACAGTCACTGACTTTGTGAAGAGAACTGGTTACAGGGTGACGGCCTGCTTTGCAAGAGTTTCTTTGTTTCACTCACTTGCAGAAGTGTAGGTGCTTTAGCCGTACTTACCTTGATCTTGTGACTGCAAGGAGCACCTGATGACTAAAGACTGCCATTGTAGGAAAAGATCACAATTTTCTGTAGAAGCACACATGGAGAGAGGGAGAGAGAGAGAGCATACCGGTGTCAGATTACAGTTTACTCACAAGGTGCAGCAACAGGCTGACTGGAAAAATACAAAATGTAGAACACGAACATCTGTCCCGATCACACAGAGGTCTCCTGGCAAACTGACAGAAGTTTGCTTTGAAAGTTAGCCAACTGTTTATGACATAGCTAACATCAGCTTGAGGACACCAGACAGCACGCTAGCTCAATATTATGTAACAACACAGCAGCAACAAAGCTCAACAGCCGCTAGTTATCTGACAGATACCACCGTCAACCTGGTCCATTAACGACTTAATTTACCATTAAAATCGACCAATAATAAGATCTTACGTGAGTGTATCTTAAATAAAAAGATTAACTCACACATTACATTGGGTTAAGTTAATGCATTTTCTGCTAAAAAGTTCACTCACTGCTAAACTGAGAAAATCTACAAAACTTTGGTCATTTCCCACTAACCTTAGCTAATTTAACTAAGTAACGCCTATATTACACATCCCAAATGTCTTAAAAACTATCGTAATGTTACTACTCCTGAGTACGTTACGTTCACATTAGCCTCATGCTAGCAAACTCCCTCCGCTAGCCTGGCCGGTTAGCTTGCTGTTGCTAAAGCTAGCTGGTGAAATGGAAGCCCACTAACCTCCAGCGTCAATGACGGAGCGATGGCTGCCGCTGCTGACTGGGCGTTGTAAGGCTTCTCGGTGAGACGACAACAATGTAATCCATCCACAACAATCGATAGAGCTAAACGAGAGTGACGGCCGAGGTGGTGATAAACCCATTTACGGTGGGTTTATACTTTAAAATCGCGTCTCAATGCGTCGTGTTTCAGCAGCAGACCGTCGACTCTCTCTGTGTGCAGACAGCTGCACTGAGGGGTCACAGCGTAACAGGCGTGAGTGTTGTGCGTAGCGACCGAAGATCGTCTGTGTCCTGTGAAGACGATTTACTCTTAGTTAAAAAAGCCGTCCCACTTTCCTACTGTTATTTTGCCTCAGAGCGTCTTAAATTTAATTTAAATTTTAATTCAGTCTATAAAAAATTTATTTTAGAATATATTTTTATGATAGATATAGTTTACAATTCACCGGATATTCAATATTCTTTATTCTATATTATGTTTTTGCTGGGCAAGTATTTGTTCACGGCCTTTTTGAGGCTATGAAGTTGTTGTATTCACCTAAGGACTTATCTTTTTGTTGTTTCTGTATTTGTCTTAGTTGTAGTGTGTTTCTTAAATTGTTGATTGTTGTTTTGTTTGTGTCTATAATTGTAATGTCTTTGGTTTGTTTCTTGTTTTTGTACTGTATTATATATTAGCCCCTCCTCAAAAAAACAGATGGTTCATCTCGAGGGATGTATCCTATTTAATAAACTTGTACAACAACAAAAGTAATGATTAGGGTTAACTCTGAAACATTTTGAATTAGTATGTTCATAATTATCCTTCTCTTAAGGCAAAATTATTGAATTTACTTACAGCAGAATCAACTTCAAGTACTGAGTGATTCTGATATTTAAATTGAAAATACATAGAAATGTCCAAATTCTCCTATTTCGATTAATCGTGAAAATGACTGACAGATTAATCGATGTTGAAAGTAATTGTCAGTTGCAGACCTAATTATAGTTAGTACTTTTAGTAGTGTTTATTATTTTAGATTTTAAAGATAGCGAGTCATCATGTAGACATGCAATTACTCTTCAGCTCTGGGACCATGTATAGTGATAACCACCAATATGTAAAATATATTAAATTCACACCAGTCTCACCTCTGTGCATCTTTCAACCACTCTCAACTCATTTTGGTTTGCATACTAAATGTCCTCTTTTGATCACCCATACATAACCCTTCATTGCTCCCAGCACACAAGCTCGTACAAACTGCCCAGTATAATAATGTGAGCTACAGTAAACAAATGGCTGGTGAAGAGAGTAGAACATTTTGCAAGCCAGTGTCAAATTGGTGCAAGAAACCGGGATGTAAATGCAGTAAATCTGGAAGCTGTATTTATCATGGGCAAGAAGACCACTTTGTTTCTTCTGAGTTAAGTTGGTAATTCTTTGCCACTGGTGTATCACTTGCAAAATACTTTGTTGTAGTCGGTTTTAAGTCTTTTGCAGTGTGGATTATTGCCGTAGAAATGCATACCGTAACATAGTGAGTGTTTTGTATGTTGTGGTGTAGAGTACTATTTATGTTATTGTTTCTGCTGTGTGTTGTCTGTTTTGTATTGACTGACCGGGGACTACAGATGAAAATTAGCCCACTGGCTAAATCTGGCATATTTACATCAATATGTTCATTAATGTGCACTGTCCCATTTAAATAAATAAATAAATAATGCAGTTCACACTTTACCCTCTCGTTTTAAAATACTTTTTAACATACACATCCATGAAAAAAGGTTGTAAAACTAGAGCCTGAAAATATATTGTAAACGGATTGAAAGCCGCAGAAAAAGCCAGTACGTGGGCCTTGAGTTCAAGAAGGTAACAAAAATAATCTTTCACAGTCAAATTTTCAGCTATACTACAAATACATTTTATTAACATTACCCTAAAGAGCTTTGTAGTGCACACTAAAAAGACTATGGACTACAACATTGTGGTACCAGGAAATCGAGACAGAGTGAGCGCTCTTTTCTTTTTTCCCCCTGCTCTCTGCTACAGATCAGGCGACGAGGCGTCTAAAAGCCAATCAGAGACCCTGGTGCAAACCAACGTATCCACAGCATCTGCATAGTGCTGCGTCCGGGGGGAGGGGGTGTTAATAAAAAACAATTATTTAATACTGTTAAAACTGCATACTATTATACCATGTGTTCAGTAATAATGACACAATTAAAAAAAATTAAGTTTAGATTTATTTATTTTTACATCCTCCTCCTCCTCAAATGAAACATGACACATCCATTTCCTCTTTCATTTTGATGGAGGTGTGACTTTAATAACTGGTATTTGATTCTCTACTCCTTCTTTTCTGCCCACCCCAAACACTCTCTTCTGTCGGTAGTTCACCAGAAGTGAACTACACATCCCGGAGTGCTCCTGAAAACCCCTCCAGGCTGGACCTGTGTGATTTGGCGCTGAGACCGACAGACCCACCGACCAGGCCCGGACTAAAACAAGCAGGGTGCCTTTGTTAAACCAGAGGAAGAGGGAGCTAGAGATTATTATTCTTATTAGGAAGAAGAAGACTGCACACCGGAGGGGGGTGGCGAGAATTGAACATATCTATCTCTCGCAGGGGTTTCACTAAATGCTCCTACATTGAGGAAGAGCCAAGCGTTTGGATTGGGCAGCGAGCAGGGAGCGTAACAACCCCCCTCCTCCTCTGTTGAGAATTGCGTTAAAACGAAAAAGGAAAGGCCTGCGCTTTATCTATATTACAGGATATATTTTTTTTGATTTTTTTTTTCTTATAGATTAAACGAGGAAACGCTGCTGGCTGGTGTATGTGTTTAGAATGGGACACGCTGAAGGTATTGCCATTTTGTTTTGTTTTATTTCCCTGCATCTTTCGACTCGGCATCAAAATCTGTGCAGCTCCTTTGCTCTCCCTCTTTAGCGATAAGCGTGTTTGCCGTGGCTGTCGATGCGTGTTGTTGTCCCCCCTCTCTCTCTCTCTCTCTGCCTCCGCACGGACCCGTTTTTGTGGTCGTGGCTAGCTTATTTTCAGGCACATTTCTCCCCAAACCGCCAGTGATGGAGGGATAATCACGCCAGACAATTTGATTTAAAGGGGCAAAGGCAGCCATATTGGCAATGGAATGTTAGCTTAGCCAACGTTAGCTTTCCCTTTCATCTGCTCCCATGTGTGATGCTCATAAACGGATAAACGTTAAATGCAAACGTCTAGTCAAAAGACAAACCGTCGTGTCCCCTTGTCGTGTTTGTCTTCTCACGGTTAAAACGTCTCACATAATTCAAAGACAACCCCCTCTTGCTGCCAGGTAGCTTTAGGCTAACATCGCAGAAAGCTATAATATCATTCAGTAGAAATATGTGCGTGTGCGCAGTCGTATTTTTTATTTTTTTAAATATAACAAAGTATTACTGTTTACCACAGCAGATATGAGCCCCAAAAATAACACCAAAATGGAGCTAGTGACCGTTACTTGACACCTTATGGATGTTTACATCACCGTTGTCCACCTTTGCCAGTGCTGGGCAGCCTGTTCACAAATTGAACCACAATCAGTGGCTTAGTCTGTTAACTGTTAGCGCGCAAGCCACAACACTTTCAACGTGATGAATTAATCACGACAAATATTAACAGTGCCAAGGTAAAAGAGGGCAATGCGGACACCTGGTAGCTGCTCTTTTGTTTTGTTTGTGAGAGCAGGCCACCATGTGTTTAGTGTTGATGAAATTAAACCCCACAAATGATCTATAGCTTGTGAAAAGAGGAAGCACACCAGATGATTAGTGGCAATCAAAGAGGAGCCTGCGCAACTTAACTCAGAAGTCACAAGCTGCCTGGAATATGTCTTGTGTTTTGAAAGCAAGTTTAAGATAATTGAGGGTGATTTTTGGCTGAGGATCTGCCCAGTTTTTGAAAGAGTTTGACTGTACAAGTCCGCTTATTGTCCACTGGCATCTAACATTCAGTGAGCCCTGTGAGTTTATCAGGGCTTCAACTAACAATCTTTTTTTTTTTATTATGGATTCATCAGCAGATTAGTTCAGTACACAGATTCACCCTTCAAAATTCCCCAGAGCCCAACTGAACATAATGAAATTACTTGTGTTGTTTGACCAACAGTCCAACACTCAAAGGTTTACTGTTATAGAAGACATGAAAACAGACAAATATTCACATTTCAGAAACGGAAACCAATGCAGTTTTGCTTGAAATTCTACTGAAGTGATTATCAAAGTTGTTCATTGAATCTTCTAATTGTTTCAGCTCTTTAATTTATTAGGAGCTGAGGTTAGATCTGAGAGATGCGGTATGCATTCTCGGGATGGAGCTGCATGTCACATAATATTTTATGGCTTCATAAAGCATCAAAGCTGGATGACTCGACAGGCAAAGCATGGTACTGCTCTGGGGCCCCCAAAGCCCCCAGTCCAATGATCGGCAATTATTTTGGTTGCAACACAAGCAAATCTGTTTGCAAATATGCACCAATAAAGCACAATATTTGATGAAATGGCAAGGACATTTCACAAGATAATGTTTTCTGGCTAGAATCAAACTGGGAACGTTGCATTTATATGTTATGTACATGCATCTTAACCACAGGATGCCCTGGTCCTGTAGTTTACCTTAACATGAGGCCTTGTGCTATACAGGTTTCTTGTGTAAAAATCGAGTTTTAAAATACCAGATGATGATTATTATTATTATTACCTACATTTGTTTATATTTAATGAAATTACCACTACCCAAATTACACATAGGAAACCAGGGGCAGGATGGTATCCCAGAATAGGTGTAATGGTAGGTTTCTGGACCTCTGGGCAAAATATTATGAAGCTGCCATGTGTAGTCAGCAGTATGAACTATCTGACATACGTACACAATGCATAGAGACTGGCAAAAAGCGCCATAGAGAGAGTAGATTTGATTTTTGTAATGTCAGGTGCTGCATATTCTGTCACTCCTGCTGCACAAGGGCTCCATAAAGGTTAAATAAAGGGATCTAGAACAAGGTATTTGAGTGGTTTGTTTGTCTTGGCTTTGTGGCTGTGTGTCGTCGTTTGAGTGATCATGATTTAATCAGAGCCTACCTGTGTCTCCTTTGATTGCATGTCTCTCTGTCAACAGGTCCAGTCAAAGAAAAAGACAGTTAAGGATGCAGGAGCCCAACAATGGATTTCTCCTTCTCTTTCATGCAAGGGATCATGGGAAATACAATTCAGCAACCCCCTCAGCTCATTGACTCAGCCAACATCAGACAGGAAGGCACCTGCGACACCGGCAGTGACCCGGGCGAGGATGGACCCTCCTACGATGCTGCTGCCCTGGATGCAGAGTTTTCCTACCCGTCATCGGCCTCAGAGGACATGTCACAGGTTCCCAACGGCTACCCGCCGGGTCTGGGCATGTACGAGCCACAGGCCAAGTTCTCCATGTACTCACAGTTCCCCAATGGCTCGGCTAACGGCTATGGGGCCATACGGAGCTTCGGAGAGCACGGTCTCATGCCGGGAGAGGGGACAGTCCTGAGAGGCCCAGGTCTCCAGGAGAGACCTTTGTCTCCCGTGTCTCCACCTCTGCCCACACATCACCCACACCTCCACCACCATCACCACCACCACCCCCATCACCACCACCATGCGCACCACTTCCACTCAAACCCACCTCATATACAAACCCACCCGCACCCACACAGTCCTCCACCGCTGCCCTCCCAGCACCACCTGCCCCAGACGCCTCACATCATGACCCACACTCTCCCCCCTCCTCCCCCATTACACCTGCCTTCCTCCAGTCCTCCCCCCTCCCTTGTGGACAGTACTCCCTCTTCTCAGCCCTCCCACGCCCCGTCCAACACCCCTGGTGGGGTCCTGAAGAAAACCAGCTCTCCAGAAATCAAGCTGAAGATCATAAAGACGTATCAGAATGGGAAAGAGCTGTTTGAATCTGCGCTGTGTGGAGACCTGCTGCAGGAACTGCAGGTAATGCATGCACGAACATGCTCTTTAGCGTGCGCACACAGAATGAATCTCCTTTTATATGAAATTAAAAAACACATGTGCTTGATCTTAAAGCTGAAATGATTGTTAACCTTTCCAGTCCAATTCGATTTTTGATTTTTCGATTATCAGAACAGCTGCAGATAAATTTTCTTTCTATTGATAATTCAACTATATGTTTTAGCTTTACATACAAACAACAGCACAGGTTACATAAAGAGAACAGGACAGTGTGTATTGAACCACAGAAATAGTACATCACATACTAAATAGAAGTCTGAGCTGTCTAATTAAAACTTAAAATGAAAATATAACACTGTGCATCTTGGTTTACTTTAAGAAGTGGATATCCGAGGATGTTTAGATCTCAACGGATGGAGAGATCCATGTTTAGTCACCTTTTTGTAGAAAAAGTAAACCAATGTTTTTCTATTTTCTAATCTTCAGAAGGAGTCTCAGAAGAGCGAGGCCACTCAGGTGCAGCGCAGACATGAGAGGAAGAAGGAGAAGAGGAAAAAGAGCGCAAGGCTGCAGCTCCAGGTCCAGGAACAGAGCCTGGACCAGAGCCAAGCACAGGTGGCAGGTACCACAGGCCAGACAGAAGACATCAACATCCAGCCCCTGCCGACAGAAACACCGCCAGCCCAGACAGAGAAGCCTCAGAAGACCGTTATCAAAACTGAACCAAAGACGCCGAAGGCAAGAGCACAACTGTTCTCTCTCCATAGCAGTTTGAGTTCTTTGCACATCAATCGCTGTAGAATGTAGTAAACACACTTGTCATTGTTTGGATTTTCAAAGCTGACTCATTCATGTTCACGTTTAGGTTCCGAAGGTCCATCATCCATCAGTGATCCAGGAGACGGGCTTCTGTAAGGAGTTTGTGATAGGAGACCTTGTTTGGTCTAAGGTGGGCACCTACCCCTGGTGGCCCTGCATGGTCTCCTCTGACCCGCAGATGAAGGTCCACACTCGCATCAACACCAGAGGTACTCGTGCACCAAAAAGCCCTCCAAATGCTCTGAATGTGCCTGTTTTCTTTCACAAATGTATATATGTGTAGGGAAACAAACGCCACAGCCCGTTTTCCTTTTCGGTGTGCAGGTCACAGGGAGTATCACGTCCAGTTCTTTGGCAGTGTGGCTGAGCGAGCGTGGATCCATGAGAAGAGGATCGTCATTTACCAGGGGAAGCAACAGTTTGATGAGCTTCAGGCTGAGACTCTGCGCAAGACCACAAACCCGGTAGAGAAACACAAAGTACGTATGAAGGCATCTAAGACATTTTGTCAGACTGATCCAGTATAGAGATTACATATATTTAGCTGTTGTTTTTTTTCAATTGTATACAGGCATTTTTAGGGGAAGAATCCTTAAATAAAGCTCATTTTCAGTCAAACTTTAAATGTATTATTTTGTTAACCAAAGATTTAAGTGTAATATTGGCCTCATCTGTTTGAAATGTATGCAGTAAATAATTAAATGGCAGTAATGGTAAGTATAATCCGATTTATGCTGGACTTTTGAGACTCCTGCAAATCTTTAGGATTAACAATATATTAGCTGCCTTTTCAAATTTATATTTACATACTGTATAGTATAATAAAGAATCCCTCAAATGCACTTATCAAATAGGGGTGAGAGAGACATGAAGTTTAATCATAAACTTTATTTTTAAATTCTCAAGAGACTCCACACCAGCCTGTATTGTGCTCAGTGCATTGGACTATTGTGGCCTGTTATTTTTGAGTATTATTTACAAATCATTGGTGTTTTATATCGAATACACATTTTATAAATATATATACAGCACAATCACAAGTTTGATGAACAGGTAAAAACTATATCAGAAAAATACCATCTGCAATTTCTATTAGTGGAAGGGTATTCTCAGCTCTCCTGTCCACAAGAAGACCTTATTCATTTTATAAATGAATGAATAAATACAATTTTATTTAAGTCATCACATGGCTCATCACTGGTGCGGTTATAACACACCTTTTAACAAAACCTAAATGTTTATAGTACAACCATTTATTTTTCTAAACTCTTATCCATTCTCCAGTCTTTTTCAACAACCATTTCATTTTGTGAGTCTTTCATGTTCATAACTCGGATTCTTTGTGTCATTAAGGTAAATTATAGTGAACACTGTCAAAGAAAACATTTTTTGAATCTTTGGAGACTTTAAATCTGGGTGACAATCAGTTAAAATAATTACCATTAATAAAAAAAAAAAGAAAAAAAATCTGGGCAAATTATGTAAGAACTGCACTAAATTATGCCATGTTTTTATTTTATTTTTTTTATTTTTATTGATTATATTGGTTCTCCAGTCAGACGGACTACTTAGAAATAAAGTTTATCAGTTGTTTTGTATCTTTTTTTTATGTTTTCTTCTGCAGCTTCTGAAGCCTATCCCTCAACGGGAGCGTTCTCAGTGGGAAGTGGGTGTTGGTCACGCCGAGGACGCCTTCCCGATGACGCGGCAGGAGCGAATTGACAACTACACCTTCATCTATGTTGACCCAGAGCCTGCTGAAGCCCCACCCAACAAGAAACCCAACGTCAGAGCTGAGAAACGAAACCGGCGCTCCAGCGGCTCAGTCAGTAAGAAGGAAGATGGAGGAGTGAAGTCACCAGACAGAGAGCAGCCACCACGAAGGCAGCTGCCGCGCCGACAGTGTAGTATTTCAAACACAGACGACAACACGAACTCCCAGGCCTCAAATGAAGAGAAGAACCAGAGGGGGGGCCAGCGTAAGACCAGCCCCCCCAAACTGAGCGCCGGTTGTGATGCACGAGAACAGCAGGACTCACCACCTCCGGTCAGGGCCTGGAAAACAGCAGCCGCCAGGAAGCTGCTGCCTCTCTCTATCACTATGAAGCGGCTGAATGTGGAGATCACAAAGTGTGACTGGCCTCTCCTGCAGAAAAAAGCAGCACCGTCTCCAAAAAAAGACAAAGAAGAAGAGAAGGAGGAGAGAGTGGAGAGAGAGGCCAGGCAGCCGGACCTGGGATACTGCTCACCTGAGGTTGGTGTAACTCAGGCAGGCAGAAACATGTATTCACCACAGTTATCCTGTGAGGATATTTCAAATGTTGATGCTTTCAGCAGGACACTAGAGCTAAACCTGAGCCCAGTCCTGAAGAGGAGGAAGACGGGGACGAAGGGGAGGAAGAGGGGGAGGAGAGGAGGGGCTCCCCTGCCAGTCGGAGGAGTGAAGAGGGAGGAATGCAGCAGACCTCCTCCCCTGGATCCCCCCACAGTAGTCCACAAGGTAAAACACAGACCTGCAGGGTGTTTTTTTAATGAATATTTGATATGTGAAGTCCGTAAGAGAAGCAGCTCAATATTTTTATGCGTTTTCAGGCTCTCAGGAGAGGAAGCTGCAGCGCCGATCAGTCAGAAGCAGGTCTGAGTCAGAGAGAGGCAGCGATCCCGTCCCTAAGAAGAAAACCAAAAAGGAACAGGTATCAGTCCTCCACAGATAACCTGGTGTTCAGAACAAAGACAGCACAGCTTTAGCACAGGCACCTTTTGTTGCATGTTCTTTTTGATTCCACACTCTCAGCTATCAAATAAAGGCAAAATTGGCCAAAATATAATAAAAAGATTGCTTCAGGGACAGACGAGACAATGTAAAATGTGTGGGTTTCAAGGCTTATCAGAGGCTAAAGCACTGCACAGAGGTTTGTAATATTATGAGAGAGGATCTTTCAACACTGGGAAGCTACAATATTTTTCCTACATCATGTCAGTAATTGGTGAAAATACAAAGTAATCTATCAGGAATGTGTGCGTGACTGTCTAGAACATACTGATTTGTGACAAAGTTTTGAGCCAGATAACGTGTGCGTGCTACGTCAGCGCAGTGGCCTCATTAAAATGAATGAGGCTGCATATTATTTTATGCGTATGAAAAAAACACGAGAACCAAAACTGCCTTGTTTATCTTCCTCACAGGCGGAGATGGCTCCTGAGACCACACTGAGGACAGGTTCACAGAAAGGTCGGAGGTCCTTCTTTCATGCCTCCTGTAAACGTCTGCGGTGGAAAAGTACAAATACTTCTAAAAAGTGAAATCCATCTTTTTTTTTTTATTGACCCTCTGTCATCCTGTAGGAGCCAGTGAGATCTCAGATGCCTGCAAGCCCCTGAAAAAGCGAAGCCGAGCGTCAACAGATGTGGAGATGGCTTCTTCTCAGTACAGAGACACGTCTGATTCTGACTCTAGAGGCCTCAATGACCCACAGGTGCTCTTAGAAAACATGCACAGAGATACACACAGACCCAAACAGGAAAACACTGTTTTTCCTGCATGCGGCAAATGTGAGCATGTACTTGAAGTGTTTCATACTTGCAGTGATGTGTACATAATCATCATCTGTTTAACTTTGGCTATTTGCTTTTTCCGCAATGTGCAGGACTTTTTACATTCATCACAACTCGAGCTGAAACAGTCAGTCGATGAAGCATCAGAAAAGTATTCAGCAATAATTTTGATATTAATTTGTCGTTTAAGGTGTTTTAAAGCAAAAATGGCAAAAATCCAGTACTTCTAGCATCTCAAATGTGAATATTTTATACTTTTTTTATTTTTTTTTTTAAATGATTGTATTATATTTTGATTCTGTTCTGTTGTTTGGACAAAAAAAAAGATTGGGAGGATGGGGATTTTATGCTATTTGCTGACATTTTATGGAGCATTAACCAAGAAGAATCAGAATCAGCTTTATTGCCAAGTAGGTTTACAAATACAAGGGATTTGCTTTGGTGACTTGGTGCTTAACAATAAACGTAACACTTGACATTTGGTGCGTCTGGGCTTTATAAGACCACATGTGAACCTACTTCTTTCTGTATCTCTCAGGGTTTATTTGGAAAGAGTCTTGATAGTCCAGCAACAGCAGATGCAGACGCTTCAGATACTCAGTCTGTTGACTCTGGCTTGTCCCGTCAGGACGGCAGCACCGGCAAGAGAGACACCGTGTGCCAGGTCAGCGCTTCTCATCTCTTTTCACTCTTTTTCTCCTCAAAGTTTACAGGTTATCAAGTTATGATGTTCTAATTGTCTTTTTCTCTGTGTGTGTGTTTGTGTGAAGATCTGCGAGGTGTATGGTGAGGGTTTGGTGGTGTGTGAAGGTGAATGCAGCAGACAGTTTCACCTGGAGTGTCTTGGTCTGACGTCCCTACCTGAAGGCAGATTCACTTGCTTAGAGTGTAGAAACGGTGAGCCAATCAGAATACATCTTCACTGTCACATCTGTTGTGTTTGGCTTTTTACTATCAGGGACTCTCTGCCATTCTTTTTCTAGGCAATCACCCTTGTTTTAGCTGTAAGACAGCGGGCCGTGAGGTGACACGCTGCTCTGTGTCTGGATGTGGTTGTTATTACCACGAGGATTGTGTCCGTAAACTCCCGGGCACCACCAACAGTGCCGGCGGAGGCTTCTGCTGCCCTCAGCACAGCTGTTCTACCTGCTGCCTGGAGAGAGACCTGCAACGCGCCAGTAAAGGTAAAACGACTTCTGCTGTGTTTTTCAGCTTCTCTGATTTCCTGTTTTGCTTCTGCAGTGGAAGCTTTGGGGCAATGAGCCGGTGCTACATCAGCAAAGTGTGAAGAAAATGTATGAAAAATGAAGCTTCCCGTTGATGTTATTGACCAACAGCAATCGAAAGTGCAAGAGGAAGAAGAAATAAGACCGTGTTTTTCATGAGGGAAATTAGATTGAGGAAGAGAGGACTGACAAGAAGGTGCTACTTTAGGAGGAACGCCTAGACTGAAATCTTTTGCTGCATTTCCTGCAGAATATTTGGTGACAGTCTTGCTAAAAACATCTGGTTCCAGCTTAAACTAAAAGTGCTGTATTTGCTTTGAGGCAAGAGGCACCTGGAGGCTGCAGACCACTGGAGGAAAATAAAATAATTGCCATGTTCCTGGAAAAGGAAACGAGGTGCACCCTGTTTGCAGCAGAGTTTAAGTATTTTGTGGTTTAAAAGTGAAACCTCAGATGCTAAGGTGCCAAAAAATGTGCCTAGAAAACATCTGTGACACCAATTACCACTTGTACCTCTGACACCAGAGGAGAGAGAGAGAGAGAGAGAGAGAGAGAGAGAGAGAGAGAGACCACATCCACGAATTAATTACTTTAGATAAACAAAAGCAAGCCAGGCGAACAAATGCGAACCACAAATGCCATAGCGAAGTGGGTAGCTACATGCTGATTAGTATTGGGGAAGATGTCGGTCTTAGGAATGTTCTTAAAATCACAACGTAGTCGCTTGGCCCCGCGGGGTTGCTCTGCGCTCCTCAGGGGAACAGGAGACAAGCGCTCCGCGAGTAAACGGCAGGCGCTCTATGGATAGTAACCATGGCAACATGCTTCTGTGCGCTACACAACTGTAGCCTATTTAACTTAAGTTAAAATTATAGGCTACGTAACTTTACCTGATAGGCCTTCATGTAGTTTTGCGGGGATGCTCTGCCATGTGAATTCCCTCCTGTTGATGTCCTATTTAGTAAACAGTAATAGATTCTGGAAACTCACAAACAGCGAGGATCAGTCTCTCTTCCAATGATTTGTGCTGCGCACATCCAATCCCAATAGGAGACAATCATGTTTGTGTTGTTCCGAATTTGCCTATATAGTCAAAAACAGTTTCCAACAGTTCCAACCTTTTCGGCTGGTGACCTCTTATATATAAAAAAAAGCAGTGTTTATTTGTGGCCCCTTGTGACGTTTCATTATGTGTATGAGTCATTCGCAGTTCCACCAAAGAGACATTTCCCATCTACGCTTCTCAGATGGTTTCATTGAAATAACAGTTTGAGGTCCAAATAGCGATAATTATCAAATATTTCACACTGACTGAAGTGACAGAATAGTATATGTGTGTGTTGCAGAACTTTTCTTTTCTTCTTTTCAACCCCATTAAATATCTCACAACCCTCCAGATTTATCTTGTGATGCCTTATGTTGGAAACCGCTGGTCTTAACCTCAAGTTTGAATGTTGAGTGTTGAGCCGTGTTTTCTGTTGTTCAAGTACAATGAGGCAAAAACATTTTAACATCAGAGGACTGAAGCTGAAGTGGTCGTATTGTTTCCTTCTGATTTCCTTTAATTACAGCTGGAACTCATAAAAGAATCTGACCTAATTAATTTTAAACCCTCTGCGTGTGCTGTGCTGTATCACAGCTACATGACTCGTGTGATGGACTGAGCAGTTGTAAATATTGTAAAGTGACCACTGACTGTAAAAGGTCAGAAGCTTGGGGGGAGAGAATAAACTGTCCCTGAATCTTTTCTCCCCCTCTCTTTTACTTCCCTTCCAGGTCGTCTGATGCGTTGTATCCGCTGCCCACTGGCCTATCACACAGGAGACAGCTGCGTGGCGGCAGGCAGCGTCGCCCTCACTCATCACATCATGATCTGCAGCAGCCACGGCAGCGCCAAGAGGAACGGCCTCCTCACCTCCCCCATCAACGTGGGCTGGTGCTTCCTGTGTGCCAGAGGTAAGCTCTCACAACTGTGCACACGAGCCTTCCTCTCCATCCGTGAACCTGAGCAGACAAATGTGGAAGTTCTTAATTTCGCCACATTCTTTCGTCTTGTTTCAAACAGCAAGAACAGTTCTTCTTACTTAACACTTCACATTTGAGCGTCAACAATACCTGATCAGCCTCCATTATTGTAGTTTTTCCATCTTCTTCTGTGGAATATTTTATATACAATCCACAGCTGCAGTGACATCTCATGATTGAAAACTGAAACCTCACATACTTTTTACATATTTTATGTTTAGATATTTTAATATTACATGTTCCATGTTTGGTATTGTTGTTCATGAATAGCAGTGCTGTGAAATGTAATGTTTGTTTTTCCACCACGATACTAATACTAATGAATGATCCAAGCTGTTACACTGCACTCTTAAAATAATCCCATCTGTGCTGGATGGTAAAGAAGACACAGGATTTACTTTTTGTTTTCATGAACATTAACCAGTTTGGATGTGATGTTTTGCCTTGTAAACCGCAAGTTGAGTGCACTGTTTGGCCTCTTTGTGTTGGGACAAACTTTGTTTTACTTGTTTCTTCTGTGTGTGCGTGTGAGGGCGAGTGAGAGAGTGAGAGACTGTGCGTATGTGTTTGTTCTTTCTCTTCTTTTTGTGAATTTTGGGTAATTTTCGAGTTTGACTGCGGCTCACCTCCGTCTCTTCCTGTGTGTCTTGTGTAGGGCTGTTAGTGCAAGACCTTACTGACACCATATTAAGTTCATATGCCTATAAGTCCCACTACCTTCTGACTGAGTCAAATCGTGCTGAGTTGAAATTACCTATGATTCCCTCTCCTTCGTCAGCTACCAAAAAGAATGTTGGGAAAGGTAACTGAACAGTTTTTCTCTTTCTCCTTTTGTCCCACTGGTCTGTGTTTGTGTTGTGCCTGCTCCCGTTCTGATTTAGTTTCCCTTTTGTACCCATCTTTCATTTCAAAGCCTCGAGGTGCAGAGTTAATTAACTGGTTAAACGTGCAGTTAATTTTAATGCAGAGTGGCGAAAAGTAACCTCAGCCAAGTTCCCTAACACATTAACAGATAACATTGGGCCTCATGCAAGAAGAGTTTTGTATTATTATCCCAAACCTCACTTTTTTGGGGCATATGAGAAGTCAGATTTACCAAACTAAACTTGTTGTAAATTTGCCTTTTTTACAGATGTTTTTATATGTCCCAGTAGGAAAAGCACAGGTAAAAGCATAAATTCAATTTAGCTCACTGGGACACCTTAATAGAGTTAATGTTGTTATTTACGCCTGTGCTTTTCCTACTATGACAAGTTAAAATGTCTGCTGTGAGAACGGCTTGTTGCCTGTTTCAACCTGATGGGTGTCACCTGTTCACTGCATCATCATTAGCATAATGATAACCCAAATTGCTATATAAGGCTGTGTGTCCTGCGTCATGTGTGGGCAACTTTCATTCAAATATGAAAAGACCTGCTGTCAGAAGTCCGCAGACAAAAGCAGAACACACACAGCCGTGTCAGTAGTTATAATAGAGGACAGTTAGAAAATATTAAAACAGCTGCCAGCGACGCGCCATCAGAGCACCGCTGTACTGGCAAAAAATTAAAGAAGAAATGTTGTGATAAATATTCTAAACTCAAAGTTCACTTACTTAGTGACCATGGTCTTTTTCTGCAGGTGGGACCACTTCCAGGTGTCAAATACAGGACCTGCGTCACGTGACAAAAGGTGGTCAAATAACCGCTTTCTATGCTGATGGCGAATGTAACATCCCATCGAAAGTGAACCTTGAGTTAAGAATCTTCATTACAGAATTATGTGTTCCCAAGGTCAAGAATGAGGGATGGGTTTGACGAGCAATTAGATACGAAAATATCTCACTTAAACATAGTTAAGGCAGGAGGTGGTGAGAGGATATTATTCAGCAGGTAATGTTAAACTGCAGCAGTAAATTTCCTTTCCGTAAATTTTATTTTAGTTGATTTCGGCATCATATTTGAACTCCAAATTAATTCAGATTCAGGCATTATGATTCTTAATATGATTCTGAAAGTCAAACAAGTGTGGAAGACAGACTATATGTACTGCTCGTGAATTATGTTCGCACAAGTACAAGAAAACTGGTGAATGCGATGAGTTCTCTTTAAATCTTTTGTACGTGCCACTTCAGAATGAACTTGTTTGAATGAGTGGTTCTTGCACGAGGCCCGTTGTGAAATTGTTTTCAATCTGGGTATATTTCTCTACAATAAAGTTGTTAGAAAGAAGAATCAAACGTTCTCTGCTGGGAAAACCTAATTTGTCATTAAACCTCCATCACTTAAACTAGTGTATGATGCCTTGATGCAGGACGCTCTGGGTTAGTCCAGGTTCAGTCTGTGGTTTGTGGAGCTTGTCGCTGCTGGAGGCGCCCTGCTTCTCTGCTTCAGCACTCTGGGCTTGTTTTTGATTTGAAAGGCCTCGTCTACCTCTTTTATGCTGACTGCAACTAAGTTTTATTTTCAGATGAAATGTTGGCTCACCTCATCTTCTTGAGCTTTGACCTGCCTTGGCTGGAATATAATCCCAATCTGGACTAAATTTGAGTACTGTAAAGAAATGTGAGTTCTCAAGTGCAAGAACAGTGAAATTACTCTCTCTTCATTAAAGAAATCAAAATGCAATATTATAAAAAAAAATAAAAAAAATTATTCCATGCAAGGTGGTCTGTGCAGGATGCGATATGTGTGATGGGAAAAGTTTGCTTTACTGGCAGGACTGCATGCCTGCTTTTTGCCAATAATTTGTTATTGGAGTATAACCCTGATTCCTTGTTAACTTGCTGGCTGATTTTTATCACAGTGCTGCCGCATGTATTTCCCATAGACTGGTCTTGGTACAGTGCTCTGAATCTGATTGCCAGACATGCTGTAACTGCTGCAACATAAGTTGTAAACAACCTGAGAACTTCATGCATTTTAGTCTTTTTCAAGCAGTAAGGCTCTCACAGGAGCCTTCACTGAAGCAAAAGGCTGCGGACCTGATGTTATTATGTGGTTTTCCCCTACAAGGACCGTATTTTCTAGATGTTGGAAAACAGTGACTTGTTGCTGTATTTGTTATCTGTAGACTTTGTAGTCTTTATACCTTTCTCAGGCTTGTCTGCAAATGAGATTCAGAGTGTGTCCAGGTTTTAAGGTGCATCACCTAATCATACACTCCTCCTCTCTTTGCATACCAATTTCCCACAACGCATGCACACACACACACACACGCACACATACAAACACACACACATATACATGTGTACATCCACACAAATGTAGGAGGCAAGTTGCTGTGCTGCGACTCATGCCCAGCTTCCTTCCACCCCGAGTGTCTGGAGATGGAGATGCCGGAGGGGGCGTGGTCCTGCAGTGATTGCAGGGCAGGGAAGAAACCTCACTACAAACAAATTGTCTGGGTCAAACTGGGCAACTACAGGTACGCAGAGAGCACTGATTATAGACCCCTGTCAGTTTATGGTACGGTTACATTTAAAGGGTATGACTGGTGATGATCTATATTTTTGTTATCCAACATTTCCATGAAAAGACCGAAATGATCAGTGAAGTATTGCCTATGTCAACATAATTCTGATATAGCGGATTCCTCTGTGCCACAGGCCTCCATTATTGTCTAACTATTAAAAACACATCAATTAGTCACAAGTTTCCTACATTTACACCCTCCTGCTGCTGTAAATACACTCTACTGCACCAGATTTGTATCAATCTGCAGCTGAAAATACAAATGCACTATTTACTCTTGTTTGAGTAACTTTTGCTAATGTGACAATGCCCAGCTGTTTTAGGAAAGGATTTATTTTTAAAGATGAATGCCTTCAGTCGGACCACTGGGCTGAAAACCTACGAAAGGCTGGGGACAGACTGATGTACTGTTTTTACTGTACTGTCTTTTCATAGTATCAGTTGACATTATCAACAATAATTAATATATCACCAGTCTTATCCTTTTAATTTCAGTGCAACAGAGCTGCTTTGCACCTTGCACTGAAACAGGATGTGATATTATAGCTGCAGGTATCATTGAGCATTGGTGTTTTCCTGTCTCACGCTGACTGTGAGCGATGCTCTTTTAATATTCATGCTGCAGTTTATAGTCTGCTGGCATGGTACTAGATTAAGATGTGGAAATGGGACACAAACCATCTCTTTAATGATTATATGCCAAAAAACATTTTACTACTGGCCAAACATGCAAGTCAACAAACATGAACTTTCATCTATGATCTTGTAGGATTTCAAGAAAGATAATTTTTGTTGCCCGGAATAAGTTCTCAACATATTGTTATTCACAAGTTAAGCAAAGTACATTTTTGAAAAGTTTGGTGCAGGTTATTTTTTTGTTACCACTCTCTTCTACTCCCTCTTCTTCTTGTCATTGAACAATGTCCCTGTCCCATTCCCTTGCAGGTGGTGGCCAGCGGAGATCTGCAACCCTCGCTTGGTGCCATCAAACATTCAGAGCCTTCGCCACGATATTGGGGACTTCCCTGTCTTCTTCTTTGGCTCCCACGACTACTACTGGATCAACCAGGGCCGCGTCTTTCCCTACGTGGAGAATGACAAGAACTTTGTCACGGGTCAGATCAACATCAACAAAACCTTCAAGAAAGGTAATTTCTTCATAGAAAGTTAGAATAGAAGTTTGTCCCAGTTTTTGTCCTTTTAAAGCTGTAGGAAGGATTATTTCTGACATATTGTTGGTGTGTTTTAGCTCTGGAAGAAGCAGCCAGGCGGTTTCAGGAGCTTAAGGCACAGAGGGAGAGCAGGGAGGCTCTAGAGCAGGAACGCAACTCTCGCAAACCTCCGCCTTACAAATTCATCAAGGTAATGTTGTTTTAATATCTCACTTAATATAAATAACCCAAACATTTTATTCGTTAAGTTATATTCAAAAAGTCTTCAGTGTTTTTACTTATTCTATTGGTGTTTTGTTTTCTTGTATCAGTCCAACAAACCAGTGGGGAAAGTGCAGGTGCACGTAGCTGACTTGTCTGAAATCCCACGATGCAACTGCAGACCAACAGATGAGCATCCTTGCAGCCTCCACTCGCAGTGTCTCAACCGCATGCTGCAGTACGAGTGTCATCCACAGGTCTGTGTGCATGTTTGTTACCATTTGCTTTGCTCATTGCTTGAACAATAAAACCGGTGAGACAGTCATGAGAAATCACACCTCTTGACTTCTTACCTTCTTTATGTTGTTGTTGTCAGGTGTGTCCTGCAGGAGAAGGCTGCGAGAACCAGTGTTTCTCCAAGCGGCTGTATGCGGAGACAGAAGTAATAAAGACAGACGGTCGTGGCTGGGGCCTCAGGACCAACCAGGCCCTCAGAAAGGTGGGTGTTGAGCTTGATGTCCAGTCCTTTCACCCAACACTTCACTGTTATTAATTTGTATTTATTTCATCTTAAATGTGAACCAAACTAGGGCTGAACGGTTTTGGAAAACAATTAGTTTTTTGTTTTTTTTAACCAATATCGCATTTAATATGTGATTCATTTTTAAGCTCTTCACCTTCTGTATTATTCAAAACGGACAAGCAGTAAATCAGTGTATAGTCTGACCAACACAATATTAGATAGATTAAACATACACTGTTCTTTCTTGTTGGTCAGGCCTGTGTTATGATGAAATTAGGTGATGCATGAATTATTATTATGAGCAATGGTGGAGAAGAAATCTAATTTTAATAATATGAGAAAGATAATTTGAGTCAAGTCATGGCATTAAATAATATGATATAATATCATCAGGTAGGCCTACGTACAGACGGCAAGAAAAACAAAGTTCACCACAGTGTATTATACAGGAAGTGCTCAATTAAAAAAAAAAAAAAAAAAAACACAGTTCAACCACCAATTAATGCGTCCAAATCTCCTAGGAGTTGGGAATTGGGTTCCACAGCCTCCAATGCTAGTAAGCAGCGCACTGGCTGTAACAAGGCTGTAACTCGAGGCAGACCAGGCCTCTTTCGGACTTGTGAGTTTGGTTTGAAATGCCATTTCACAGATATTTCCTGAGCTGACAGGTGGCTGTGTGTGTGACGCAGGCGCCGATCGCCACAATATGTTTACCTTACTACACGTGTCTTTCTGTTGTGCATTTTATTGTACATTCCTGGGAATTCTCTTCTCCCCACACTCAGACACACCTCAGGTAAACGCTCTCCATCTCTCTCAGCTGGTGAGCCGCTTGTGGGCTCGTTATTGACGCAGCCTATCAAACAACCAAAACCAACATCTGTACCCTGTGTGTTCAATGCCGCTTTACCTGGTCCGTGCTTTTAAATTTTTCCACTGTGACTTGTAACATTATAGGCTACCAATTTTTTAACCAGGTGAAGTCTGTGCGAGTGAACACATGCACGTACGACGCCCCCGTTGTCATCGTCCATCCTGATGTTTCAATGTAGACATCGTCTGATGGAAATTTTGTAGACATCATCCAACCCTAACCCTTAGTTGCTCCAGAGGCGTGCGTCCTCAGACATATATAGCAATTGTATTTTACTTTGGATAAAAGCGTCAGCTAAATGAATAAATGTAATGTAAACCGAATCAATAAAAACAAAACAAGACGAAACAAGGCAAACATAACGATTAGAAAATAAGTGAAATGACTCTACATATGAAACAATAGTTGACTACAATGGAAAATAGTCAAAATACACAGCAACAAAAGGAAAGCAAAAACAATCCAAAACAACACAAACCACAATAACATCTATGTGAGATTCAACACTTTTTTAAAAATTAAAATGAAAAGCTACTGTTGTTCTGTCTGACATTGGTGGGGAGCATCTTCCAAGCAGAAAAAACTTAAACCTGAAACCTGTTGATTCGTACTTGACATTGACTCCCGCCCTTCTCTCAATTAGTCATTTTGAGTAAGGCCTAAAACCCTGTAAAAATGTGTTGTGTGTTGTTTCCACCAGGGCGACTTTGTGACAGAGTATGTGGGAGAGGTCATAGACTCAGAGGAATGCCAGCAGCGAATCAAACGCGCCCATGAAAATCATGTGACCAACTTCTACATGCTCACCCTCACCAAGGTAACATCAGTGACACTGATAAGAGGAGAGACCTCCACCAAGCATTTCTTTAAAGACTGTCCTCTTTATATCCGTCTTTCTTTTTAGGATCGTGTGATAGACGCCGGCCCAAAAGGAAACTCGTCTCGGTTTATGAACCACAGCTGCAGCCCAAACTGTGAAACCCAGAAGTGGACGGTAAACGGAGATGTTCGCATCGGACTCTTCGCCCTCTGTGATATCGAGGCTGGTGAGTTTGGAAACATTCTCTTATATTCCTATGTGTACAGTACATGCACTCAGGGGAAGCTAGATGATGCACTGTGACGTGACTGGTGCTCCTGGTGTTCCTGCAGACACAGAGCTGACATTCAACTACAACCTGCACTGTGTGGGCAACAGGAGAACGTCTTGTCACTGTGGATCGGACAACTGCTCTGGATTCCTAGGGGTGCAGCCAACGGTGAGGACATTTACCGCTTACAATCGTCGTAAATCCAGTTCTAGGGCAGACCTGACTTTGGGAGCTGTGTTTGAAACTGTTTCGTCTTTTTTTTATAATGTCCTCCAGAGTGCTGTGGTGATGGAGAAAGAGGAGAAGGCCAGGAACGCCAAGCTGAAGCCGAAGAAGCGGAAGCTGCGGCCGGAGGGAAAGCACACACACGAATACTTCTGTTTTTGCTGCGGAGAGGGAGGGGAGCTGGTGATGTGTGACAAAAAGGACTGTCCGAAAGCATACCACCTGCTGTGTCTCAACCTCACCAAGCCGCCATACGGTAATGACAAAATAAGTGTGTGTGTTTGAATCCATTAAAATTTATAGACACAATGTCGAAATCTTGGTGATTGCAAATCAGACATTTCAGCAGCCTAGCGTACCTGCTGTAATGCTCACAGATGATGCAGACATATGAACGTATTACTACAGACCAACACAGCATTGTTTCCAAGTGTCTTTATTCTTTATCACTGAATGAGATGAGCAAACTATCTGTAGCCTTTTAGAAATACAGGTCAACTCCTAAGCCATGGGTATCTATCTTTTTTGGTTTGTGACCCCTCAAAGAGGGAAATGTCTACCTGCGATTCATGGTTGTAAGTCACTGGTTGCACATGTCTAACATGTTGCCCGAAAGAAATAGTACCTATTAAAATAGTTAACAGCGAAGTCTGTGTTGTGATGTCTGTCAAGAGTTATGGGAACATTGTTCCTAGAAATACACATTTCTGTCATTTGTAATTTTTCAGGGGTTTGACGACCACAAACAAAATTCTGTTCATATTATAAAAAGCAGAACATATAAAACCAAAACTGTCTCCATGGTCACACACACCACTTGAGGTACATGAGAAAATATGTCTTTTTAACAGCTTTTAAAGAGGGTTTGCACATAATTGGCATTGTTGGCATCATCGTATGATTAGATTACATTTATTTAGCTGACGCTTCTATCCAAAGCGTCTTACAATATGTGCGTTTCAACCATTCGGATACAATCCAAAAATTGCAAGCATCATGCAAGTACGTCAAATATGCTGAACCGCTTCAAGTCCTGCGTTTAGAAACCAGGAGGACCCAGATGCAGGAGTTTTCAGTCTGCGACAGAAGATGTCCAGAGTTTCTGCTGTCCTGATGCTGATGAGGAGCTCCCTCCACCATTGTGGAGCCAGGTGGTGATTTTGTTGAGCGGTAGCTGTGCCCCCCTGATAGTGAGGAAGTAGCAAGCTGATTGGCTGTAGCGAAACGTAACAAACGGGCTGGGGTGTATGGTTTCGACACTGTACAGCTGCTGTTTTACATGTTTTAAACGCGTGTCTTTAATGAGCCTTGTCGAGGGAGAATTTCCGTCACTGCTTTGGGACAGACAATAAAGGTATTTATCTATCTTGATGTAGGATGGGCCTGAGCCATTCACAGAACGGTAGGCAAGTGTGATTAAATCATTTTGACTGTGTCAAAATGACCCCTGAGATTTATCTTGAGACCCTTTAGTGGGTTTGAAACCACTGCACTTTCTCCATAATGACCTCCCTGTCTGTCTGCAGGACGTTGGGAATGTCCCTGGCACGACTGCAGCGTTTGCGGCGCCCCGGCCTCGTCTCTCTGTGACTTCTGCCCTCGCTCGTTCTGCCGTGATCACGAGGCGGGGGCGCTCACCTCCTCCTCCCTCGAAGGCCGCCCCTGTTGCTCCAGTCACAACCCTGCCAGTCCCCTGGATTCCAGCTCGTCCCAGTCGCAACACTCCACTCTGAGCCCCGTCAGGGTCAAAGAGGAGCCGGAGCCGGTCTCAGAGTGACACCGCAGCTCCCTCAATACCTCATTCCCCCGTAAAGTGCGCTCCTGTTGGCCTCCTGGGCTCCGATCCACCTCTGCTCTGAAGCAGCGCACTACGAAAGGGAATACAGTGCTTTTTTTTTTGACGAGTGCAATGGCCCCTGTTCAGAGACGAGACACACAGACGAACACCTCGATGCTGTTTGCGGCGAGAGCAGAGCGACTGGAGTGTCGGAGAGGGAAGTGTCCAGGCTTCATTTTCCCTCCTCTCTTGCCATAAAACACCACTAACGCTCTCTACAGCTCGCCTGCGCCCACCGGAGGGGCTCAGACCACCACCTCATTATGTTTCTTTTTTAAATTTTAAGTGTTGTCACGTCGTCAGTTACCGACATTTTGAAGTACTCGACGAGTGAGGTGGAGGGAGAGGTAGAGAGGAGGAGGAGGAGGAGGAGGAGGAGACGAAAAGCTGAACCTCTCCATCACCACCACACTGCTCCTTTCCTTGTTTACCTGCTGTAAGCTGTGGTTGGCATTTCAACACACACAGGATGGCTGCACGGAGATGAGCCAGCCTTTTGTCCTCCTCCGCAGCCGATCACCACTCCCAGACGTGATCTGTCATTGTATTTATCTCTTCTTCTTCTTGGAGGAAAGGAAGGAAGGGAGGGGGCGGGGGGTGACCGATTTTGTGCAATTTCTTTCAGGACCACACTACATTCCAACCTTCCTTAGACATGGTTTTAATATACTTATGGGTAAAGATGAATATAATTATATACAGTATCTATGTTTGTTAATGTTTACAGACAGATTCTCTCACTTCATCTTGGCGAGTGGTGTATTATGTTTGTTTGTTTAGGTGTTAAGCATTACGCAGACCTCCTTGTGAAAATAGTCCTATTAAGGTGAAATATAATGGTATATAGTGTAATGGTATGACATTACAGAAGTACTTGTGATTTTCATATTGCCAGTCTCACTCGCCATCTTGTACATAATTGGCTCATAATATTGTAAAGTACTTAAGGATCAGGAGGGACGTAGCCTTGCCTCTCTGGTTGTTCCTGGAAGAAAGAAAATGCTTTTTTTTTAAAACAAGACAGATATTTGACCACTGGTGCTGTCTTAAAGTATTGTTGATCAGCCTTAAGTTTGATTCTGGCTGTAGTAATTACTGCCCAGACGCAGTCCATTTCAGTAACGTTGTGTACTGTGACCGCTTTGATGCTTGTTTTTTGTTTTTCTTTCAGTTTTTTTTGTTTTGTTTTGCCAGACTTTTCTGAAAAGCACTTTTACACAGCTTGTCACTACACATTTTAGCTAGGTGATACATATACAGAAATGTATATTAAAAGAACGTAAGACAAGTGTTTCAAAATGGATACCTCTTCTTCTTGTAGTAATGTCGGAAAACTGTGTTGTAACTTCTTTCCCCCCCTTCCCTATTGGTCAGAAACATGGCGGGTACAGGGCGTGGTTTGAGTTGCCTAAATGCTGTTTTTATTTGTTAGGTTTGTTTTGGCACAAGTAGGAATGACTGCCAGCCTGGCTTCGTACAAAAAAGTCCTCAGTGTCCTCAAGAGGCACTGCTTCATTTTCCACCTGGACATCCTCAAGGCTGGACTTCAAATAAAGACGTAATGGTAACAGTCCAGTATAATGTACAAAAACAAACTTCTGTACAGTGTTTTTAATCGCTCATCTGTCAAATCCAAATTCTTTTGTATTTATTGCACCACATTTTATACAAATTTCTTTTTCAAAACACCAGTGCAGTAATTTGTCTCCCACTCCACCACAGTGTAAGTGAAATAGACTATTTAAAAAACATGGGGAGTTTTACATGATATATCTGTATCTAGTCATTGCATACATTTGTTTATTTGTTTTTTAACATTTGGTGTAATGATTCCACATTTGGTAACAGCCGCTGTTCATTGACCTGTATCGTGACTCACTGTAATTGGTGTAACGCAGTGTGAAGCAGTTCAATATAGGAATGTAAAGTTTCAGTTTCAGAGCAGTTTTTGTGCTTTATTTCTTTTTTTCCCCATTTAGCCTGGACTCAAGTGATCATCACAGGAGTTTATCTGTAATCATTCCTCAGCTTTTTGCTTGTGATTCTACCCCGGTTATGTGACTTGTTTGTTTTCTGACCTTTTTTATTTTTATTTTTTTCAAGCCTCTGGTTGTAAAAGTCGAGTCAGAGGGTGAAATGGTGCCAATGTTTCAAAATCATTTTCATCATTCATTAGGGAAAGCGTAAAGTAGATACACAGCTGCCAGTTTATTAGGTACACTTACCTCAAACTAATGCAATAACTCTTCACTTCATGAAGGTTATAATGTTAAGTTTTATATTGAAACTGTTTTAGAGGTGTTAATTTAACTGTGTGATGATTTTGGAGGATGCACTCGAACTGTAGTGGGTTTGGACAAAAAATATCCAATATGTGTTATATTGACAGGTGTGTCAATACAATTCAGCAGCACCACAAACTGCATCCTCCAAAATGACCACACAGTTGAATCAACACCTCTCTAAAATCAATAAAAACTGAACATTGTAACCTTCATGGAGGGGGGAGTAACGGCCGGACTGTTGTATGAGACGGCATCAGTTTTAGCTAGGTGTACCTAATAAACTGGCAGCTGAGTGTAAATCACAAAGAAGACTAAAGAAAGGAAAAACAGAAGCGGAGTCAGTGAATGCAGAAAAGTTCAGACATGTATTAAGACATATAAAAATACTCTGCTTGGAAAAATAATGTCTGATATCTGAGGTGTTTCTACAAAAAAGTATTAAAATTCAATGTGCAAATATTGTTCACTTCCAAAATTTAACTGCTGGACGCGAGATGTCTCTTTGTTCACTGAAAAGTCCATTCTCAGTTTGTGTGTGCGCGCTGGAGGTTTAAAGTTTTCACCTCACGTTTGTGTAAGATGCATATTGAACCACGATACAATATATCAATATATCAAGTGCACAGTGAAGGTCAAACACTGAAGTAACGAGCAAAACCCGTTTTTGAGTGGAGGGGGGCTTTAATATGCTAAATGTATGCACACACATACAAAACACAGGGACTTAATTGGGTAAAGAACGCAGAAACGGGTTTGAAAATGAAAATGACTGTATTTGTGCACAAACGTACATTTTCTGCATTCAGCAGCTCCTTTTTTTTTTTTTTTTTTCTTTCTGTCATTACTTTTTAGGAAGGCTACCTTCCACTAAATCTGGCAGATTCCTGAGAGAGAAAAAACAAAACCTAATCTTGCTGATTTCCTGGCTCCCGAATTTGTCTTCGCTTTTCAGAGATGCATTTCTGTTGCATAGGTTGTTGTAGGAATTAGGCCACTTTAGTATCAGGTAGGTGCATCATTAAGGCACTTTCACTTACATACTCAAATGGTCTGTGTGTCTAAACTTGAACTTTTTATTTATTTATCAATGTATTTTTATTTTTTTAACACAGGAGATGCATACATGTGTGATTATGAGACCACATGCATCCTTGACTCCATGACTGAATGATGACTTGTGATTATAAAACTGGTCTTGAAGCCTTTTTTTCAAGGGGACTTTTTTCAGCTGAAGTGCATGCTTCCAACATCAGACACTGGTTTAATCCACTTCTGTGATCAGTTGGAGAGTCTCAAAATGCCTGATTTTAATGCCAACGTTTTGTTTTTATTTGTGTTCCTTTTTATTTTTCCGTGTTGCACAGAGATTGTGCAAATCTGAACAGCCTTTATTTCTTTGCACCTGCCAATTGCATGATCATGAATTACTTTGTGCCAGTTTGTCCCCTCCTGCCCTTCTCAGCTGATACAGCCGCAGTATTACATATGCCTAATTCAAGTGTCCCAGCATGCATCGTTTCATTTCAGTAAAATTCTGTCTGATGTGTATGTTTTGTTTATTCTCATTATAGTGCCCGCATTTTGTTTTTAAGAGACAGCATGTTTGTTCTCTTTTAAGTGACCCTTAAATACGCCTGACAAGGATTTTTTTTTGTGTGTGTGTGTCCAGGTATTAGCTAATTATTAATATTTTTCACATACACTTAAATTTAGGATGGACTCCCTCTTGTTTGTCAAAGGGGATGTTTCAGTTCACTGATGTCTTTTCGTTTTTTGTGAGATGTTGCTGACTGTTATTAAGTTGGAGAGGAGAAATAGTGTTGGAATAAAAAAATGTATTCACCTACATACGCACTCATCTCTTTTTACTTGTAGAAAAATTACAGTAACTCTAACTGGGGTCTTATCTATCTCTCTTGGTGTTGCTTCAATTAAAACGTGGATGAACACAAAATACCATGTTGATTACTGTTCAACCTGTGTTACTGCATATTGTTGAGGAACCTGTAAATAGTTTGCATTGAACTTGCATAGACTCATGTTACTGTGGCGTGCTCTTTTTGCCTGTACAACTCTGCTTCTAAATGTGTGTGACTGTTGAGACGACACTCTTTTTGTACATGACTGTCTTTTTATTTGAGAATATTGATTCTGTCCTTTTTCATTCAAAGTTGAGTTTGAGGAGTTCAGACATGCCTGAAGTTTGACTTTAATAAAGCTGTACTCTGTCTCAGTGAAACGCTGTCACTGTATGTGATTTGGTGAAAACATAGTGAACCAGATGGAGATAGACTGTTCTTGATTAAGTGGTTATAATGGCCAGATTTTTACCAGTCACAAAAACATTAATTACCTTGAAATACAATTTAAATTGAAATGATTGAAAGTTTAATTGATTTGATGCAAACGTCACTGATTTAACCTCTAAATTAAATTATTTGTGCGGTGACGTGGCCTCTCGCATCCACTTATCAAGGCAGATAAAATCATCTGCGCGACCATTTCCGGTTTGTAAAGCAGTAAGAGCTCCCAAATTATCCAACTCACACACTAAATCATCATGAATTGGAACAGTGGGCGTGACCCCAGTAGATACTTACCAGTTAGACCACCAAACTGAAAAATATATGAAATCATCTTATACCATGAAACCCCTATGGTCAAACGGCTAGCTCATTTAACCTATAGGACCTAACTAGTACAATTAAAATGATAAATAATTAAATACAACAAATTTAAAATTGATTATGCCAAATAAACATGGCAATAATAATTGCCATTATTATTAGATTTTTCACTGAATTTCTAGTATTAATGAACAAATATGACAAAATAATAAGCACACTGTGCAGGTGAAAAACTGCAAGAGTTACATTAAGTATTTTTTTCTTTTCTCTCTTCTCTCTTTGTTTTACCAAATGAGCCTGTAACTTAGTTTTTCTGCACATGTTCATATGGACTACATTGTCAAAAGTGTGTAATTCAGTCCACGGGTTGTTTTTGGTGATGTACATTGAAATCGATAGAAATACATCATTTTATTTTGAAATCCTGAACCGGACGTAGCGATGGTGTGTCCGATAGCTTCACGCAGCGCTCATCTCCTCTGTGGCAATCCCCGTTTCTCTCCTCAAATACACGACTTCCACCGTCGGCAGAAATAGGAAATGTTGAGAGCTGATTGCTTAGAAGGGCACAGTTTAATATGAGGATAAAGAGATAGAAAAACGACCTGTTTAAGGTGAGTAACGCTCCTGGGATTCCCTGTTTGACAACACGGAAATGGGCCAGATGTCTGATTTGACAGATGTTGCTAGCTAGCTTAGCATTTTCATCTTGTTTCTACAACACAGACAATTAATGTCAGCTTGTTTGTCTCGTATTGTTCTGTGTATTGACAGAGGCTGGCAAGCCTTGCGTTTAATATTGTTATTATAACAAATCAGGCTTAATTTTAACATCCAATTAAATAACAGCTTCTAATTGAAGTGAAATGCACAGGTGTAACATGTTGGCCTTTGTAACAGGTTTTAGGGGTTACTCTGAGTAAAAGGGGTGGAGATACATTGGAGAAAACAGAAGATTTTCCCCATTTGTTAGGAGGAAATAGTCAGTTTTCAGTATCAGTATTGGTGTTTATTTCAGACGATAAGTAATAAGTCATTTCAATACAGAGAACCAAAATGTGTTTCAGGTACTTAAGAAACTGTTTCTGTTACACAGTTTATTAAGTACCCCACCAAAGTTTTATTTGTATTTTGGCCACAATTCTTTAATAACCAAATTAACTGGATCCCTATCAAAAGTAAAACAGTTTAAACTCTCAAATATCAATATTGGTATCAAGTGTCCATCAGGCTATACAGGTAACAGTAGTGTTAAAACTTTAGTCTGTTTGCACAATTAAAGACCGCAAATAAATCAGAGTGCTGCAGTCCCTTTTCCCCCCTTTGGACGTTTGTTGTCCTCAAACTGAGAAGCGACTGATTGAGCTGCTGAGATGAGCGCAGAATGCTGTTTCAGAGGCAGTTTATTCTTTACCATCAGATAATCCATCAGCATTACAGAGACATTTGTGTTGTTTAATTAATGTGTCAACATGTAAGTGAAGTATATCGTGATTAGATTTACTGTTTTTCCACTTGCACACCCACAGCATCTCTAACCAATGAAATAAAGGCTTTGCACCTTATTAGATAATACTTTATTTTTCCTTTCCAACACCCAAAATAATGGCACAAACTAAAACTCAGCTCCCCGTTTATTTTCTAGGCCAAGTTAAGTCAAATGAAAGTTGAGAGATGATGTTTGCTGTTGACTGAAGTCCACCCCAAGAAAAAAAATGAAGAGGAGGCTGCTTCGTGGTTTCCTATCGGAAATTTCCATCCGGATAGCGCTGTTGGTCGTGTTCCTGTAAGTATGTCCTGCTTACATGATTGACTTACGGATCCATATTTCAAAGGCCTGGCATTGTTTTAATGGTGAGCAAAAGAAGCAGAAACATCGCTCTTCTTGTGGTTGTGCAGTGTGACGGAGCAGCTTCCACCTTTCTACCGTGAGATCCAGCCAGAGGAGATGTGGTTGTATAAATTCCATCGTGTGGAGAGAGACCACGTACCCACCTCTCTTATGTTTGTAAGTTATATGTTTGCACGCCTGAATTCAAATGGAACATAATGGATCCCGCAGCTGAGTTTCTAACTTCAGGACCATACCAGTGTTTATTTTTAGCACATTAATCTCATTTATCGTTCTCCAAATTATACCATATGTTTTTTGATTAATCTCCTACCTTTCACACAACCACTGGTTTCATTACAGTTTGAAAATCAATTTGCAGAGACATGGCGGTCGCTCCAGATAAGGTGTATCTACCACATATCTTGTCTTGTATTTTTGTCAAACTTCTGTGTCACTGCAGATTTTTCAAATACAAGAACATAACTTTGGCAGAGATGTAAGAAAAAGTAAATGCTAACAGTACTGCCCTATCTTTTATCTTTCTCAAACACGTAAGTCTCTGCAAGTAACCAGTGGCTGCCTGAAAAGTCTATATAAACTAATGTGTTATATTCATAGAGTTTTAAAGTTTTAGTTGTCTGAAACAAACACTGGCATAGTCCCTTTTAGTGAAAGCACAATATTGTTAAAGATATTTCTTTGGGGGCTTAATTGATGTAACAGGGAAAGCTAAGACAGATCTGTCTTGGAGTCATTAGCTGACCCCACAAGTGTTCACTGACCTTCCAGCTCTAGTTATTTCTCTCGTTTAACTGTCCTTCTTAGAGCGACAACAGTTGGACTGATAAGGTAGAGACAGTAGATCAGGCTAGCAGAGTACAACTCATGGACAGTAATAGATTTCAAAATAATGTGGCATTTGGAGTCTAAACATCAGATAGATTTGTTGTTCTAGGTTAAAGCCAGCTAAAGACGACCTAATACCTAATAACCAACAGGCACTAGGGGGAAGACAGAAACATAAAAGGGACCAAAAGATGTTCTCCTTCAGATTTGGTGTTTGCATTTGACGTGTTCACAAGTTGTATGCTGGCACTGAATCTCCTCGGCCGGGCTCAATAAACTGTGATATGTTAAGCCTTCATCAATCTCTGAAACGTCTTCATCACACCTGAACCTGGCTCACTGTTTCTCCAACAGTTTTACTGTACATACGTACATGCTTACAGACAGACATTCATTTGACTTTAAACTCTCTCCTCTTTGTTTTTGTTTTTTTGTCTCTGTCAGAGTGTGGCGGTTTTCACTCCGCTGATTGTAATCCTGGCTTTCACCTTCCTGAAAAAGTCGGAGCGAGGGGATCTGAAGGAGGCCTCACTGGGTAAGAAAGCTGCACACAAACGTTTGTTTATTTTCTGATTTAAAACAAAAATGTGAACTAGTTTCTTTTTTATAGTTATAGTATTTTCTGTTGTTTCCCTCTGTCATCCAGCTGTGACTTTGACTCTGGTGCTGAACGGAGTTTTCACCAATGTCATCAAACTTGTTGTTGGCAGGTAGACATTGTACACAACATAGCGGATGATAATGTTACCCAGCATTATAGCGGCTAAAAGCCTAAATCTGTCCTCTGTTTGTTCGTCCCCTGCCTCAGGCCACGGCCAGACTTCTTCTATCGCTGTTTCCCAGATGGTCAGATGAACCTGGAGTTGCGCTGCAGTGGGGACCCAGACGTCATCATGGAGGGCAGGAAGAGTTTTCCCAGCGGACACTCTTCCTGTAAGGGCCTTTTATGGTCGATTACGCCTCAGTGGCTGGTACATTTTCATCAGCAGGCAACAAGGAAAACAACAAATGCACATAGTGGGGCAGGAGGGCATAAGATATATCTGAAAATAGATGTATGTACGTGTATTTTAGCCTCCAGGCTCTTATTTTGTTGTGTAAGCAAGAGAGTATCCCACAACAGGCTTCGCTCCCTCTCTGATCCCTGCCCTTCCTCCTCTTTTTGTTGTTTTCTCTTTGAGTTCTTTCTGTCTCTGATCACCCTTTCAATCCTTTCTCTTTGGTCCTAGTTGCCTTCGCAGGTTTGGGTTTCACAGCGCTGTACGTCGCAGGAAAGCTGCGCTGCTTCAGTCCAGTGGGCCAAGGCAGAGCGTGGCGGCTGTGTGCCTTCCTCATTCCTTTACTCGTCGCGACAGTGATTGCCCTCTCCAGAACCTGCGACTACAAACACCACTGGCAAGGTCAGAGTCCCAGAAATGCTCAGAATGGCACAGCAACATAACCATTTACATGACATTGGTGACCAACAGCAGAAGGTGGCTTAGAGAGACGCAGTGAAGGAGGATGTGTGAAAATATCAACACAACTGACTTGCCGGCCTAGTCTGATATCCATCCATCGTCAAACGCTTATCCTGCGTACAGGGTCGCGGGGGGCTGGAGCCAATCCCAGCTGACATTGAGCGAAAGGCGGGGTACACCCTGGACAGGTCGCCAGTCCATCGCAGGGCCACACACAGACAACCAACCACTCACGCTCACACCTAAAGGACAATTTAGGGTCACCAATTAACCTAGCCTGCATGGACGGCGGGAGGAAGGAACGGCTGAATTGCCATTTTCTTTCACTAATCCGACATCACGTTAATGTTACCCGGTTTCTGTTTTGGGGAGGGGTATTTTGCCCTAGCCAATCAGTAGTTAAAGAACAGCATTTTAAGTTGACAAGGGAGCTGTGTACATGTTGATCAAAGACATAAGATGATTTAAGAGTTGTTATTTGCTTAAGTTGACTTACAACAACCTGTACAGCAGTTTTCTTTCACTGGTGCAGGCAGATGATTCATATATCAGCTGTAGATTGGGAGAAATATCCAGATATATCCATTTTTTTGCTTTAGTTTAATCTCAGAAATCACTTTGTTGCAATACATATCTGTCTAGTAAAATGGTGGATGTTTTATACAGTTAGGTCTTCTTATTATTTAATTGAATAGTTAGGTTATAACGGTTAGTTTGCTGTCCATGCGAAGTGACCTGGATTAATAATAAAGTTATAATAATAAAGTTAATTATTTGCAGCATAAGCAATATTTTAGTGGTTTCAGGTAATGTACTGCAGTAACAACTCTGGGACAAAAATCACTTTGTAATAGAAAGCTTCAAACTGTCTCAGCATACTTGGATGATACTGATAATGACAGTTCAGCTCATCTTTGTAGTAGTGTCCAGAAGTCAGAACTTCACAACTCTGGAAAAGGGACCATCTGAGGAGCACGTGAATGCAGCATTATTTCTAACAAAATAAATAAAGAGAGATCACACAAGGAAACTTGTTCTTAGATTTATGGAGCCTCGCTGGTAGTTCAGGCAGGCACCGAAATCACGATAGTCATGTTCCTCCTCCAGTCATGTATGCCTACGACATATATCTCTCACAAAAGCTGGTCCATATAAACATTTGGTGTTCATTCATCTTCCCTGCTACTCTGCTGCCTGCTGTCAGGAATTTAACTCCCTCCGCCTCCCCAGGCTCCCCCCTTTATTAGCATTTTAGTTTTCGTGTTTTAATATGCGCACATGTTCAACAAGTATTTTTATCTCACCAAACTGGAATGATTACTGCTGCATTAAATGGTTAAAACTAGGCCTGAAACAGCCAGTTACTTTGATTGTCCAAAGCTCAGAAACACAATGGTGGATGTGTCGCAGGTGGAATCAAACCCAGGTCTTCCACACCTAAGACACGTGTCTTATCCGCTACTCCATCGCCACCCCAGCTACTTAACATAACCTAAAATCTCTCTTAGGGTTAATCTTCTCCCAAAATATGTTTTATATGTTAGCAGAAGATGTAAGAAAGCATTCATGTGAAGGTGTGTGTGTGTGTGTGTGTGTGTGTGTGTGTGTGTGTGTGTGTGTGTGTGTGTGTGTCTTCTCTCTCCTTCATTCAGACGTACTAGTGGGTTCTCTGCTGGGCCTTACCTTCGCCTGGCTGTGTTACAGACAGCACTACCCTCCCCTTCAGGACCCTGACTGCCACAGACCTCTGCGTCACAGAGAGACCGTTCCTGCCGCACAGGAACGCAAACTGGCCAACTCCAACTACATCCTGCCCCGGTAGAACAGCTGTAACTGGGGTCATTTATACTGGGTTACATGGTAATCCTTCTAAGTCTGGTTTTCACACGCTTGGGACTGGGCAATATATGTTTATCATTGTAACTGTATAGTTGGAATTTTCCTTGTGTGTAGTGACGATTTGTTTTCTAAATTCAAATGACCCTTTTTTTTTTTTATTTTTTATTTATTTTTATTTTTTTGAACGGTTTCTGAAACACGTGAGAGTTGCTGCAAATAACAACTCCAGTTAAACAGTCCAACTTGGTGGACCAATCTCAGATGGCCTGGTGACGATCATTACAGTTATTGTAATCCATCCATATCGTCCAACCGTACACACCCTGTGTCTTGTGCCTACAGATCACATGACTTTAAACAGCTCAGCAGGTCAAATACACAAGCACTGCACTGATAGCCCAGCGGCTGAGAAGCAGTTTCTCGTGTAGAGTCACTATTTTGTGATCATTTTGTAAACTTTTTCAACAGGCAGGGCTGAGACTTGATGTTTGTGCATCATGCCTGACCTTTGAGAAACAATATATGGTGAAGAGAGTCTGAGCTCAACATGGTGCCGAAACGATCAAGCGATGAATAAATTAAGTAATCAATGAATATTAAAAAAGAATCAAGATATTAGATGACAAAATTACATTAATTAAATTAGTTTCAGCCTGAGCTTAAAAAAAAAAAGTGATGATTTTCAGATTTTTTATGATTTCAGCTGCATCTCAACGTCGTCTTCAGTAGAGCTGGTTCAGGCGTGATCACAAGACCTAACGGTGAAACAGCAGGGACCCTGGGCAAGAGATGAATGAATGATAAATAAACAGAAAACATCAGCTCTTTGTTAACAGCAGCCCAAACCTGTCTCAGCATCGACTATTAAACAAGATCAAGGTGGACATCCTTGAACCAAGTCAGGGGTTAAAGTCTTTCCACCGTACACAACCGCTTGTTATCATGTGGCTGAATGATTAAATTTAGGTTCTCTAAAGACAAATGAGATAAGACTGAACGCTCCAAATAATTATCAAGTGGACCTTTTGAGCTTAGATTATCTGTACCATATTTGTATTTGATTTGACAGGAAATCTGGTGAAGTAAGAGGTGTTTATGTGGGTCGAAGTAGGGGTGGGAAATATGGATAAAATCCTCCATTTTATGTGATGATATCAATGTGAATCATTGACATATATAAATCATGAATAATTGCTCGTCGGGAAAACTTTTTTAAATTCTATTTATATAGCACCAATTCATAACAGAAGTCATCCCATTGCCCTTTTCACGTAGAGCAGGTCTAGATCATACTCTGTCATATCATTTACAGAGACCCACCAATTCCCCCCATGAGCACACACTTAGCGACACAGCCAAAGGAAAAAACAGGTCGAAACCTCAAGAACAACCTAGACTCAGAGCGGGCGGCCAACTGCCTCGACCGGAAACTGAGAAACTGTTTATGGAGATAATAAAAACACGAGAATGTCTGTGTTTAGCCTCATAAAACCAGAGATATTAAAGAATACGATTAGGTTGTATATTTTTATCGTCAACAAATTGCATGAAAATACCAAAACCAACACTGTGTCTGTGGCACTTAATTCATTCCTGCTGAAGGGAACTTTAAAGGGATAGTTACGACGGTATGGTAAAACCTCTAACCATTGACTCTTATATCCTATTATCTCACAGTACATGTCAACATGTGGCCCGCCCCCCATATTTGCTGCCTTTATGTTTCGTTATTGTACACTCTTCCGGCTCCTCTGCGTCCTCTGTGTGTGAATGTTCACCAGGGGCGGTGAGATGTGACGAACAGGGATTGGTTGTTTGAGTGACAGCAAAACCAGATCTTCCTGATGAACCTGAGTGAAGTTGGACTGTAACTTCTCCAGGTGATGGTGCTAGCCTCCCAGCTCTCCTGCTGGACAGGTTTTCTATCCTGTTAATAGTTTTATTGGCACGTAGAGTTTGGTGTTTGTTCTTCTTCTGGTAGTTTCATTTAAGATTGTGAAGGCTCAGGTTCAGTTATGATTTTATGTTTACTTTGTTGGCATTTCGTTTTTTTTTCTTTTATGCTATGTTTTCGTTATGATGTTTTTGTACAGAATATGTCATGTTTTACGCAAATGTGACTGTTTTTGCAGGTTGAAAAATGAAAAACAACCAAACCTCTGTGCATGTGAATCCAGCCAAAGTGTTGCTCGTTGTGGTGAATCAGCACGGCTGGATCACAGTGGTTTTAGACAAAACCTGGCAGAAAAAAACAGATGAATTTGTGCCTTTGTTTACTATATTACGTTACAACTCTTAGTTAATGGATGAAGTATATGCTGCATGTTACAGTGTATGCTCTCTGTCATGTTGTGGACACAACATCGATCTTTACGTTAGTTATTGTTTTACAGTGTCCAGGGTTCAGTTGGGAAGATACTACATGATGTTTAAATGTGGCATGCTGCCTTTCTTTACCTCAAAAGAAAAAAATACTTTCCATAAATGTTATTGTTAATGATGTCTGGGTTGAAACATTTACAACTGAGAGAGTAGCCAACGTGGAAAAAACTTAACTCTTACTGTACTCACTCTTACAGGTATTTATGAGATGGTGTACAGGTCCATGTGTATTTAATTTGGGAGCATGTATGAGTTTACTTGAATTTGTAAGTATTTGTTTTGTTTACCTTTAAATGTGATGGTGTTTATTTCCTGATCATCTTTTATTAGCACATGGGTTTCTGGTGACTCTTTCAGACAAAAACAAAAGTTCATTAGACTAATTTTGATTAAACCTGCATGTTTCACAGCTTAAGAGCAACATATTTTATTAATTGCTTCCTTCCAAATCCCCACATTTCCATCCATTTTAATTACTTTATGTGATTTGCAGTACATGTATACTGTATCAGGTTGTTGATCGTGTCTGGTCTCCTTCAGATGGGGATTTTACTAACACTTGCCCGCTTGCTTTATTTATGTCATGCATCATGGTAACTTGCCTTGGCTTGTAGGACCACATAGCAGCGGCTCATGCTGATACAGTATCCTGATTGTACATGTTGTGATGCTTTTAATAAGTCTTTTGGTGACACTTAACAATGTTTGCAATACAATACACTCCGTCCTTTGCTTATTTTCTTTTGAGTCAGCGGTCCTTGTTTTGAGTATGTGTGATAATTCCAGACACCTGCTTAGACCATATGAAAAGTGTAGTAAAGGATACTTTGGGCAGTGAAACAGCAATTAACAACAGGTGACAGCAACACAAATTAGTTTATTACAAATGTATTAGTCAAATTATGAAAAAGCTTGGGTTGCAGCGATAAAAGTGCAGAATAGCAGCATTTCCTCAATTACTTTTTTGTTTTAAAGGTGCAGTCTCTTCATTTTCATATTTCTAGATGCTTTACTTCTTATTTGTGTTGAAACTGGGAAGTCCTTTCCTAGTCTACATTTTAACATGTCAAACCTCAGATTAAAATAATCTTGTAGACTCTCTCCTTGTGCAAACTTTCCCTGAATCAAAGAACATTGAAGAAATTGGGAGAGTTGAAGGAACATCACATTCAGGGTTGTGGTTGTAGCCAGGACTTTAGAAATACGTTCCCTCTTAAGAAATTTCAAGACAACTTTATAAAATACTTTATTTGCTTTTTTTCCCCCTGCCGTTCTAACCTGTCTACATAGAAAGCCATAAAACAGGGAAAGCACACCTCCCCCAGTGTACAGAACAGAGCGGCATCAATAAATAATGAACAATATTGATTGGTCAGGAACGGCCTGAAAGAAGGCGCTGGGGTGGCCATGGGTTAGCAGCAAACGGAGAAAGCAGCCAGGGTAGGCAGGATACAGCAGCTTAAATAAGGCGCCTTGTATGGCTTTGCCAATGAATGCTAAGAGGGAAATCGCTGAGCTGTCAGCTGATGTGGGTTTGACTTGACATGGGCTCCTGTCAGCTGGTGCACTGGGATAGTAAGTGGAGCTTGACTTTGTTACATGCCTGAACTAATACTATGCTCATGCTCGAGTTGTGTCTAAAATGTTTTATATTAATTTAACTGTCTTGTGAAATCCCTAAGTAATGGTTCAAAGGATGCATATTGCCAGGGGGATAATTATTTAATTATTATTCTAGTGGAATATACAAGATCATTTTCAATATAGGAGATATTGAGTCTAAAAATCATTTATGAGAAATAATCTATGTGTAATATGTGTGCTGTGTGTGTGCACACAATGTAGTGTGTAGAATGTAAGCTCTTCCTCAGGTCATTAAAAACCACAAATTCCCACAATTTGTCCACAATATACTGCTAGGTGGCTTGTGAATTTCCCCCTGAGGATAAAAAAAATCTTATCATATCTTAACCTATAATAACACATCACAAGTCACTTGCTGATTTATGTTATACATAATTAATCTGAATCTGAAAAGTACCCAGTCACTAAAGCAATTAATTAAATATAGCACAATATTTCCCTCCAAAGTGTAGTAGCACAGGTATAAAGTTACATAAAACGGATATACTTAAGTAAAGTACTCACAGTTGCAAAAGTACAATACTTGAGTAAATGTAGTGGATTTACTTACTGTCCACCACTGGCATTAGGTGCTTTAGTGTTCCTTTAAGGTGTGAACGCTTTGTGAGGGTAATTAATAATATAATTACTGGAGTCAGTTTCCTTCTCTGTTGTATTTTCTGAGTTTACATAATACATGTTTTATCAAAAATCATTTAGCAGGAATCTGTGTTACCTGCGGTCTGTCTGTGTTTTGGCAAGTTTTCGCCACTTAAGCTCTTTGTTGGCAGCTTTGTTTTCACAATGTAGTGGGCGTGGCCTCGGGCGTATGACGTACGTTTATTTCCTTACAGTGATTGGTTGGACGTGACGTACAGATTTGGCGCCACATTTCTAACAAGGACCCCAGTAGCTCTGTGTCTGACAGCAAACCAAATATAACCCGCTGTTCAAACCACTTTTACGTTATTTTGTCGGGTTTGTCTCATCTTAAAAGCTTTTAATCGATATATTTGAACATGTTCATCGCGGATATAAGAAAGGAATTTTATGAAGTCGTTGCCAACCAGGTAAGTTGTAACGTTATGTTAGCTAACTTGAACCATGGAGGCCTGTAAGTTGGCTAATGATACTTGTGGGATATGAAGGTTATCGTCTGTTATTATTACGTTCGTCATTTTGAGACGTATTTATTCTCTGTGGTTCACTCCGATAACTAGACACGATCTGTCGTGTATGTATGTGTTGCTTTGCTTTCAGAGAGTCGCACTCCTGGTGGCGTCGGACATCGACGCTCTCTGCGCCTGTAAGATACTACAGGTAATCATAATAATCAGCCCTCTGCTAGCAAACATTACCTCATGCAACCTCTATTCGGACCTTTTATCATCAGCAAGATCCTCTGGGCGCAGACTGAGATCTTTTAAACCCCTCAAATTAAATATATTATGCATCCTGCCTTATTAGTATCAGCTGTACTGTAGCTGATAGTAGCTTCTTCCTTGTATAGTGTAACGTTATGAACGATAACTGACTGTGGATGTGATGGCTACACCAGGGGTTTTAAAAAGTCTGAGAGACTCTGGCCCTCCCCTCAGACAAAGCTTAGGAAAAAGCTGCCCCCTCACTCACCCACTAGTTTACTTGGTTAGTTTTGCTCAAGTCCTAAAATAAAAGCATCATGATTATGTTATTTGAGCCCACAGACACCTAATAAAAAATATATATATATATACTATAAATAACAGGTGACCTAATATTGCTGTTGCTGAAATAACTTCAGACTACACCAAATACATAAAAAGAGGTCTGTCCTCAGGCTTTTCCTGTTTCTGACTCTGGGAAAGACAGTAAAAATCTCTCAAACTACTGTATCTCTGAGCTCTCTCTTTAACCAGATCATACACATTTAGCATAATCTATGTGATCTCCTTTCGAGAACTAGTGTAATATTCTTTCACTGAGCCTCCCCTAAAACAGTTTAGAGCCTCCCTGGAGTGGCCTGCCTCACACTTTGAAAACCTCTGGACTAGAGCATATGTTGAAGCTTGTTAACATAAGAGCATAGTAATTAAATATTTGTATCTAATTATTATGGTCTGCAAGTTTTTACTGGGATGATATAAAAGCTGCAAAATGTGTGTCTCAAAAATGTATATTTCTGAGCTCAAATTAATGACCACATACATGAAATGCTGATCAAACCATTTATCTTACTTCTTACAGATTCTCACGAGCTGCGATTTCAGTGACACAGTGGCTTAAAATTCAGTGTTCCTATATCCTTGTTTGACAGTGAGAGGCTTTAGTAAAATTTGTAAATCAAACCGTAATTGCTAAATCTTTTTTACCAGGCGCTGTTCCACTGTGACCAGGTCCAGTACACACTTGTGCCAGTAACCGGCTGGCAGGACCTTGGTACCGCCTTCCTTGAACACAAAGAGCAGGTATGATCAAATCAGACCTGAGCTTACACGTGACCAAATTAAGCCTGTCACTCGAAGTTAAATGTATTATTTTGGTGTATGTTGTGTTGTAGTTCCAGTACTTTGTTCTCATCAACTGCGGAGCAAATGTAGACCTTCTTGAGATGCTGCAGCCAGATGACGACTCCGTCTTCTTCATCTGTGACACTCACCGGCCTGTTGATGTGGTCAATGTCTACAATGACACCCAGGTGATGGATAATGATCAATTCAGCTCGAATTATTGATAATGAAGGAAGCAAACTAGGACACCACATTAAATTGTTAGTTTGGAATGTGCTGCGTCTGTTTGTGTTTATTAGCGTTCGCTTGAAGTTTTTGAACAAAATTAAACCACATCTCATTGGGAGTTGTGCTGCCATGCTTACATTTCTAAGCTTTCACTTTGTGTAAACTCTTATCATCTCGCCCACAGATAAAGCTACTAATCAAACAGGATGACGACCTTGGCGTGCCCTCATATGATGATATCTTTCGTGATGAAGATGATGAGGAAGGAGGTGACTCTGGAAATGAGAGTGATGAAGGCTCAGAGCCATCTGGGAAACGGAGGAGATTTGATGAAGTACGTATTGAACAAAATGAGACTACACTGCTGAAATGAATCCGAACAGTGTTAACTCTAATGATTGTGTGACTGTATCATATCTTTCAGGGGGCAGTTGAGAGGAGGATTGAAAGGCAGCGAGCGAGGAGGGAGTGGGAGGCACGCAGGTGAAGTGTTTTGAAGAAGGTGACGTTTGTCGTATAGACATCACAATTTCTTAATGATACTAATGTTTCTCTCATTTCTCAGGAGGGAAATCTTGTTTGACTATGAGCAGTATGAATATCACGGGACTTCTGTGAGTAGACAGATTTGAATTGTTTTCCTTTTTCAGTTCTGGAAACCCTGAATGAATATGGATACTGAATTTGATGAGGAGGTATTAAACTTACATTCTTACATTGTAAGAAGTTTTTAATCTCTACAAACACATTTGAGAGTTAATTATGGGGAGCTGTAGGTTGATTTTCATTTCACATATGTTATTCCCGAATTCAGATGTTTTCATGTGTCCTGTCAGGCTGCAACAATGTTTTTTGAGCTGGCGTGGGTGTTGACTAAAGACACCAAGGACATGCTCTGGTAAGCCATCTGATAAAACTTAAAAAAAATTTAATGACAAATACAGTGTGGAAATGCACTCTGCAGACTTTTAGATGTAGACTGCTGTGGGGGGTTTTTTCATTGCAGGTGGGCCATCATTGGGCTGACAGACCAGTGGGTTCATGATAAAATCACACAGTAAGAGAGTCTTCAATATTTCAAAACACAATTCTCAAATAAATTGTTCCCCGTAGAATTAAACAGGCGGTCTTACTGCTGTGGTACAGTCATTAACCGGTTCTTTGGTTCATTGTTGGTTACGAGATGTATTGACACTGTTTGCATCAAGCTTTTAGCCACACTGAATCGTTCTTCTCTGCCTTGTTCCTTTTTAGCATGAAGTATGTAACAGACATCGCCACAATGCAGCGACACGTTTCCCGGCATAACCACCGAAACGAGGATGAGGAGAACTCTCTCTCAATCGACTGTATGAGGATCTCCTTTGAATATGAGTATCCTTAATTAATCTGACGTGTTGTCATTATGGATCTTTGTATCCTTGTGTCTCCCCTCCGTTTGTTCAAGTGTTATAGTGGACACAAACTCTCTAGCTCTGAGTTTTCCTAAACCCTCTGCTTCAGCCTCCGTCTAACCCTTTATCAGCACTGGTCCTTGTATGAGAGCATCTGTAATTCCTGTTATACGTCATGCAGCTTCAAGCTTTGGACGTTAAATGGTCAAAAGAAACTCCAGGAGTTCCTAGCTAACATGGGGTAAATAAATGCTTTGTGTCTTAATGGTGAAACCTTTATCACAACGTGAGCTTGTGACGTGAAATAGAGCTGCCTTACTGGTGTAAATGGCTGATCTTTGCTGATGATCCTTCAACAGGTTACC